GATTCTTCCGTCTCTATCTATCAACTGGTAGGGATCCAACAATCGGCATCCTAATCAAGGGGTTCCTTCATTCTATATATCCTGATAAACTATCAAGGAGATTGAAATCGTTGATTGTTCTACTTGTGAGGCCTTAGCTACGTGACTATCTAACAAAGGCGCGCGTAGGCGCTAGGCCAGAACGGGGAACCCGCGGTCAACATATCCCCATCAGCTATTCGCGATTTGGTGGATTCTATACCGAGAGGCGAAGGGACAATGCGGTAGGATGCTCGCAGATGAGGTAGGGTTAGGGAAAACGTTTAACGCCTAGGCTGTTTCTGTGGTCGTTCATTATGTCTATATTGCTTACAGGGAAGTGTAAAAATCTCGCGTTGCTAAATAAGGCGATACCACATCGAGACCAATAATGAGAGTCCCTGACCCTCTGCCGCTTGAAGGGATTGGAGAGGCAATCACGACTGAAGGTCTATCGGGATTGAAAGAAGGCCAAATCGGAATTGTTATCCTTACCTCGATAAAGTCCTTCATCACACGAACGGCCCAAGCACTGGGCGTGGGTGTGACCGTGAGGGTGCCTGACAGAACTGTGAAAGAAGCCAAGTATGGAGACAAATTATTTTTTTCACGGCCGACTGTCCCGTTAATCCGAGAATCAAAGGTGAGAGTGAGCATGTGTCAGACCACGCTATGATAACTCGCCAGAATCACGAAAGGCTCAAGAAATGGGTCAAGGTATACTACTATCATTTATTATATTATAGCTCTCGGTAATTTCCAAGCTCTTTTACGAGCTCGACGCCATATGGGGAGCTAATTGGCTCAACCCTGAGTTGATCGTCTTCCTCGAAGACAGACTATATATTATCGGGATTTTGCGATCAAATATGAAGACTGGGAAAAGATTTTAAGTATCTAGGTAGGCCGTCCTGACTACTATCTCAGGCTTCAATGTTGCTGGATTGGATCTCCAAATTGCAGAATCTATCGATGGAGGCATGGGTGACCTAAAGCGTAGGGCATTTTGGTTGTACTGGAAAGTCCCACTAGTTCAACATCTGTATGCCGCGCCCCAAGAAGTTACACTAAAGTAACAATGGGTAGTGATAAGTGTTGACGAACGACTCTTTGACCAATGCGTATGCAGATGATTGGAAACCACCAATGGACAACCTTAAAAGGTTATTGGATACGGTCCAGGATGCTGGAGATTCTGCCTGTTGTCTCTGTGGTCCTAATAACCCCAAAACTAATCAATATAGGCAACCACCGGCTAATCAGCCAAAGGCAGTTGACGCCCCTAGAGCACCACCCACTGGCGTTGCCAGCTCCACGGGGTCCACAATACCCTTGACCATATCAAAACTTTCATCTATGGCCCTTTAGGGCATAGCTACTGCCGCATTTCCTCAGGTTGGTCCGTCATGCCTCTATGAATCACGAGGCCCTTTTTCTCGACTGACGCAGCCAGACTTCGGCCTCCGCATGAGCAACTTTACACAACGTGCGAAAGCCCTGCCACCCTGGAGGCCATACCTTTGCGTCAATGAGCCAGCACATGCAGTATATACAACTTGAGTATTAACCTGGGAATCGTCCTGGCTAAGCTCCATGACGCCAGTGAAAATGCCAAAAGACATTGAATATGCCTTTAGTGTTCTCCCCGCGGTGTTGAGGCTCTCTTCTCAGCTTTCAAAGTTCTACGATTGTTGTGACGCACAGGCGTTCTTACCAACTAACAATGTGGGCTTTTTAGCAGCAACTGCCGGTTTCTGATAGGATTACCAGGCGGTAATCCACTTGCAGCCTGGCCACTGTCTCCTAGTGCAGCCGAGGGTCTCCCAAAGTGATAGCTCCGAGACCTACCAGCAGTGTAACAGCTTCGACATTATGTTTGGAACCCCCGGGAATATCCTCGAGCTGTAGAGTCTGGGAACTTGTCACTGGATTCTGCGACATACTACATGTTTGACGATGCTAACAGTTTTCTCGGAGACCCTGGTGCAGGTTTTCATTGTTAGAACTTGTGATAGAAAATACCACTTGAAACCGGAACTCGCATCGTGACATTCTCCCGAATTTTGCCAGCAATGGGACGCTTTTGCCTCCGTAGCGGTGAACCTCGCATGGATATCACTGCCATAGAAAATGAGCGAAGATGGGTCACTGTGCAGCGGCTCCTGATGCTCCACTGGTCGTGGCTGTCGTGTAGTCCCTTCCTTTACGGGCAGTAGGTGATCAGTGTCGGTACCCCCTCCTCCCTCTCCTGCCATGCCCCCAAAGTACCAGCCTACCTCGGAAGGAGCTAGATGGAGGGCAGGACACCGGGGTCCGATCCCAACTATCAAAACGACCTCACTATGGGAACCTGGAAGGACTAACCAGAGACGAAGGGACACCTTATCTACGACCAGAGTATACGATCGACCGATAATAATAACAAAACGGAAGTACGAAGAGTTAGAAAAAAAGTTCGAGTATCTCAAAGTAAAGCACGATCTCGGGGTTCAGAAGTTGAAAGTCCAGGCAGCGATTAGTCAGCAACCAATGGTGTAGTTATTTAGTCCAAGATGACCCAGTTTTAGGACCAGATATAACGGATTTTGGAGGCAGGCAATCTCCACCAAGACACCCCTACTGGCAGGTCAGGGTTCGCCAATCACTACTCTTGTGATAAAAGCACTCGCTGCGGACACTATCAAACCACTATCAAACCGAGTGCGTCATATCTGAAGCCACTGAACCTTCCACTACGGGCCCTGAGCCCATCGATATGAACCCTGCTCGAACGACGGTATATCCGCCACGTCCAATTCTGGCGCGACAGAAGAAAATGGCACCAAAAAATGACGGTTGCAATAAGGGCCCAGCTGGCACAATATTCAATCCTTTAACTAGTTACCTAAGAACCTGTCACCTGTTAAGCGTTCACAAACACCGTCCCCGATAAAGCGGGTTGAACCTTTCTGGAAGGAGATCAAGAAAGCTTTTAATAACTCGAAGAGCAAATAGCTGGGCATAGTCGAAAATGCAAGACGCGCAGAGTGCATAACTTAGGCAGTTGTTGATCGGAAAACATCAACATCTCAACACCCTGGAAGAGCGCTTGCGAGACTACGAATACAGCTCACTTGACACATTCTAGCTCGAATGTTAGCTAATTGCTATGCTATTTCATGTATTTGACAACTGACACATTGTTACTTTTCTTGTGCCTTTCTCCGTTATGTATATGTTACTACAACCTCTTCTTCTTCACAACTTGCCTGTTACCCGCCGTTGACTTATTGTTGTCTTGTATCTCCTGGCATCGCTGTCTCTACTGTATATCCACATTGTCTCTTTAACCTTCTCGCCTTATTCGTCACGATGGCTCCTAACGGGTGCGTAGCGGCGACTCCTTGTTTGGATGTAAATTACAATCAGGCCGCGGTGGATGCTCCTTTTGATACCGATCGTGAGGGATAGGTCGCTCTCTCCCCCGAACAACTCGTCCATCCGTTGGCGCAGGACAAGGCGGCGGTATGTCTCTTAGACGTGGTACAGCCTGCCAAATCTGCCAATAGTAGGAAGGTACCGATTCGCTATAAGAACCAGGTATCTGTGTATTTGCTCCAGTGTCGCGGTGTTGTAGTATTGTTTATATATACAAAGTGTAAGCGAGACAGGTTTTATAATTTCTCTGTTGTGTCTCTCTCTATTAGCAGTTACACCTTCTATAACAGTACCTATATTAACTGTATTGTCAGTGACTATAGGAAGGATTGTGGTATGTGAAAGGAACTTAAGTCTAAGGGTAGTAGGACTTTGGATCCCGATAGTATCAGCTCGTTTATTATTGGGGATAGTCTTCTTAAGGCTTTTATATACAGAGTATTGCGCTGGTCTACTTGAGGTTTTGGAGAGTTTGGGCGTTGCCAGACGAGGCCAAATATGCCTTTATCGTGGCGAGATATAAGAGCTGGCTAGTCACCAAACCGAAGTCGTACAACTCGCTTTGCGCAGCCACCGGCCTCAATAAAAAGGATATCGGGGATTGGGCACGCCCATGTTACGCGAGACTCGATGCTTCGAGTTACCACAATAGAGAATATACTGACAGTCATCCATGGGGACCCGTTGTCCTGTATTTTCTTAGGGCTATGCACAATATTTCTGATAGCGAGGAACCCTTATTCTGCACCGATGCTAGCATATGAGGATCTGTACCGCACTGTTGATAACCCCGGAACTCTGGAGAGCTTGTCCCTACACAAATGGGGACCGGCCTGTGGAAAAGAATCTCTAGGAGCTGGTATGGGGATTTTTATAATCAAGCTCCGTGACGCTGCCTCATTCATCTAAGGAGTACCTAGTAGAATTGAGAGACGCTTTTTGCGTTGTTTATTTGCATTTTTATCACGACAGGTCTACGGCGCAACGACTAACGATGGGACTGCGGCTACTAGCCTAGGTGGTAAAAGGGTTACAGTTCCCAGTTTTCAGACGTATCTAGGTTTCCTTTGAAGGGGGGAAATTGTGATGAGCTCCATTCTGCCGCGCTCCCGTTTTCTCCTCTGCAGAGGACATACGAATAGAGACATGTTGAGAATCAGGAAGAATCCATCATTCGCTACAGTTTGTCGGGTATCTTATCTGTTATATATAGCCCTTCTCTTAAGATTGAGTAGATGAAATTTGATATATCTAGAGTTTTGATTGCACCGGAGAGTGATACTATTAAGAATTAATTATCTACTATCTATATCTTTTCTAACAGTTATATCGATTACCGATATTGGGAATACTATTATATTTTTAAAAATAGCTCTTACTGTTTTGTTTCTTTAAGATACTTTAAATCTTGTTTTATTTTCTCTTTGTTTATTATTTATCTGGCTGAGAGTCTCAGTTTTAAGATCTTGGCTATTCTCTTTAATATTTCATATACTGAATTATTCTTTACTATTAATTCAAAAATTTAATTAAAAGTCAAATATATGATCTAACTATAGGTAGGCCAGTATAGACCAATAAATATAGTAATTCTTAAAGTAAAAGGCGCTAAAATAATCTATGATGCCAGAGAAATAGTATGAAAGGTAAAATCAACTATAATAGAGAATAAAAAGATCCGTACTTGACAAGATACAAAATCTACCCTTTCTTAACCATCTCGCCACTCACACTCGCTTCCCTCTCATGCCCATTCAGCACACTCATGGCTTGCGGTCCGGTGAATTGCTTCCTACCAGTAGTTATCCATGTCACCGCACTGATCAAACCAATGACCCCAATCGCTGCGGAGGTATAGTTCATAGATTCATGCGTAACAGGGTAGTCGGTCGGGAAGTTGAATGTGATGGCCGCAAAGAGTAGGAATAGGAGACCCAGGATGTTAAGAGCGATAGACATAGACTGGGGGAGGGCGAAGGGGCCTTTCAAATGTGTCTTATGGCCGGTAATAAAGCCGAGGAGACGACTGAATAGAGCCATAGCGTAGGAAAGATCTTATACATAGTTAGCAAATCATTCACAGTGAAGAAATGAGAAGGTAACGTGGTATGACTTACAGAATCCCTCGGTGGAGATAGCAATGACTGTTTGGAAGCCGGTGGTTGTACCGAAGTCAATTGCATCCAAAGCAAGTTGCACGACGAGAGTAAGGAGCACGGCGTTGACCGGCACATGTCGCCTGCTGTCCACTCTGGAGAAAACATGCGAGAAGGGAAGGCCGTGGTCTCGGGAAAAGGCATACACCGAGCGAGATCCCTCCGCTAATAGATTGTTTCCGGCCACTATGACGATGATGGCAATCATACTTGTCAAGAAACATGTGCCGACTTTACTTCCTGTAGAATCATAGAAGATCTGGATGACAGGTACGCCGGTGCTTGTGTTCGCAGTGTTGCTGATATCACCGATGCAGAAGCAGAGCGTCAACAGGAAGGCAAATCCTGTGACAGCACCGAGGACAACCGAGAGAATGATAGCCTTAGGAGCTTCCTTCGAAGCTGACTTCATTTCTTCAGTCATGTGTGAGGGGGCATCGTAGCAGCACATCCCGAAACAGGCTTGCAGAATACCTACGATGGCTGCCATTGAGGATCCCCAGCCTGAGAAATTTTGGAACTCGGAGAACACAAATGATGCGGGTTGCTTGTGGTCATTTGTGGCTAAGAGAACGATCGTGGTTATCAGGAAGGAACCGACGTTCCAAATCAGGATGAATCGGGAGATGCGATGCAGGAGGTGCGGACCCCAGATATTGATTGCTGTCGCCAGGAATGCCACTAGATAAGCTACCAGGACAGTATGCCAACGCTCGATGGTGTAATCGGGGAAGACCAGATTGGCCATGCCGAGTACGAAGTTGGCTGCGATAGAGTTATTCGTTGCTCCCATAGCGAGGATACCTATTTTGAAAGTGATCATTAGTATCAGGGGTGAGTTGTTGTCACTGTTAAGGTAGAGCAGGCATACCGATGAGCATGAACCAGCCACTAATGTAAGACAGTCCTCGAGCGATACTCGGAGGCGCCAAAGCCGCAACCCAGGAGTATTGACCTCCTGCAACCGGATACATCGAGCACATTTCTGCCATTGGAATGGCAACTGCCAATGTGAGAAGGCTCACGCCAATGAAACTGAACACCATGACCGGGGGGCCACCGGATGTGACGCCGACGATGAAAACACCGCTTAGAGCCGTCCATCTGCTCAGGGTTAGCGAGATCACGATTGAGAGCCTCTATGAACTAATCGGTTGACTGACGAGGTAACCACGCTGAAGCTGAAACCAATCATACCCAACAAGCCAAAGGTTCGCTTGAGCTCTATACACACATCAGCACACAGGCACACAATCAGAATTGAGCAACATACCCTGCTCATAGCCGAGGTTTTCCAGACGAGCATCTTCCCCCGTTGATTCTGAAAAGACTTGCTGATCCTCCTTCGCCATGGTCATAGTTCGTGTCTCGTCTTAATGCTTGAAGATGCAATACCTAGGCAACAGGTGCGTGAGTTGCCACCAGGGACACCACTCCCTTTTAAAAAACCCATGGCTATACTTCAGGAACTTCCCGGTTGGGAAGGGTGACCCCATGGAGGAGGCGTTGGTTCGACGATAGCCGGCCGAAGGCTTGACAGCGATAAGATAGATGTGCTATCTGACCTACCCAATCGAGAAGGTCTCCGCGACGACGGTGGAGCAGCGAGTGTGGGGGAGCGAATCAGGATTCATCGGCGGTACCAGAGATTAGACATTCTGGGCCTGGGTTGGGGTCATTATGGCCCATATTTGTGGACAGTGGAAGATTCAGATTGGCGGAGGTTTGCATGAATGGCAGAACGTCAGTGGAGCGGTGCCTGTGGCTTCTGCAGTAAAGTGACAGCCGATAAGGGTCCACGGCATTCGGCATAAGTTTGAAAAATCCATTTCCTAATGAAATCGATAAGTATATCTCTTATATCCCTATCCGTGCGAAATGTCATTGTCATGACCTGACTTACTGATCTTATGTGATTTGATAGAGTACCTCACAAAATTGAAGTCATGGGATCACCCGAGCCCTGGCCCGAGTTTTATGAGTATGTCAGTACTATAAAATTCCTAACTTCATGGCAGGATTTAAAGAGCATATTAATATGGGAGTGCGGGTTCCGAGGGTCCCGTATCATTACCTATACAATGAGGAGTATTGACCACTAGAACAAAAATGGAAAGACGTAATGCTTGGCCCATGCGTCCATAAAAGAGTAACCAGCTGAGATGAAAGCTTCCATTTCCTTACATCACTGGATCACGCTCCACAATGTTTGCATACGGCCTGCTTCCTCTCATTGTATCCACATCTGCCGTTGCGAGGGAGATCGTCTTCCCTCCCATCGCAGCAATTCAAGGTTCCGGACAATTTCCGCTCGGCAAAGATGATACCGTTGATATTGTTACAGGTAGTCAGTTCTCAGGACTGACTACGTTCGCACATTTACCTTACGTAAACTGTTTGGTGGATGACCAGGCACATTCCACACCTTATGACATTGCAATCTTGGGTGCCCCATTCGACACTGTACGTTCAACCTTATAGCCCATGCAATAACGTACAAGGGTCGCGTAATGCTGAGTTGATTCTGCTTACAGGGTGTTACCGCTCGTCCTGGAGCCAGATATGGGCCAGGCGGTATTCGTCTCGGCTCTCGGCGATTACAAGGATGGAACATCTACACGGGTGTCAATGTCTTCCAAAGCTGGGCGAAGATGGTGGACTGTGGGGACGCGCCACTGACCTGGTTGGATAATACAGTTGCGTTGAAGCAGCTCGATTTAGCACACGAGGTTGGTATTCACGAGCTCCTTAACCGTGTGAATTATTTACCACCGAAACTTTCCGATAGGTTATATCATCGCGTCCTACGAATAGTACAGATCTGGGCCGTACTCCTCGTATTCTTACTCTCGGCGGAGACCACACAACAACATTGTCGGCACTGAGGTCGACGTATGACAAGTGGGGTCCTGTTTCGGTTATTCATTTTGATAGCCATCTCGGTATAACTCGTTTCAGTCCTGTATAGACCTAGATGACTGACCTGACCTTCCAGACACTTGGGACCCTGAGGTACTAGGTAGGTCCATGCTTAAACACCCGATATCGCAATACCACAATCGCTCACTATACTCTAGGCGGTGGTATATCCCACTATGCGTAGGTTGAACATTGTCTATGTCGGCACGACACTCAACTGACATTACCAGCGGCGTAAACCACGGAACCTTCCTTCATATAGCCCATGAAGAGGTTAGTCACCATCCGAGCACCAAGGGATTGATTAAGCAATACACTAACCACGCCCAGGGCCTTATCCGCAATACATCTTTACACGTTGGTATCCGTGCCCCTGTCATCCGCCCAAAGGGCGATATCCGAAACGATATCCGATGCGGATTCAAAATCATCAAAGCTCGTGACTTAGATCGGGTCGGGATAGATGGTATCGTCGAACAGATCAAGTCCCGGGTTGGCGATAGCAAGGTGTATATTTCTGTGGATATTGATGTTTTAGATCCAGCCTACGCACCTGGTGAGTCTTCCGATACCCTCTACCTAGGATAATTTACCTGACTTTAGTAGCAACCGGAACTGCAGAGCCAGGCGGTCTTACTACCCGCGAGCTTCTTTCCATCCTAGATGCTCTACACGGATTGCCTATGATCGGCGCCGACGTTGTCGAAGTTGCGCCGATATACGATACAACAGCCGAGACTACGACTTTGGCTGCTGCCGAGGTGGCTCATTCGCTGCTTTATCTGATGGTGGAAACACCGGTGAATGATAACTAGTATCTGGCTAGCATCCACATGATGTGTTTTTATGGTGTAGATATGAAACGCCAGTAGGTTCCAGTATTGATGGAGGGTAAAACATACTCCATAGCTCATTGCGCGGTACATCATTATTGTACAAGATCCAATATGTGACTCTAGATTTAATGTACAATGAAGCATGTTTTTAAATATACCTTAAAAACTGAATTATGAGACTCTTGTCTCCAGTAACCCAGCTATCTATGGTAAAGTACGACCGCGAAGGGAATCAGCATTGATCAGGTCGTATATAAAAACTTATCGAATACCCGCATCAACTATAATTAGGGCTGATTAGCCCCCGGGATAGTATAACTTGGCTCCAGCTAAAAACGCCGATCTTCGCATGATCCATGTCAGATATACCAAGCATAGCCAATAGGGTGAGTATGTAGCCATATACATCTACATCTTATCAGGGTAATACACTCAATAATCTAGCTAGACGGATTCCAGACTTCAATATTCTGCACATACAACTAACTCCGACCCTTTATCTTAACCCCGCGCCCCCACTTTTTTTCCCGAGCAATTCTTTTGCATCATTGCGACATTCTTCAATCTGATAACCATTAAATCCCACCCCTCCATTACTTTCCCATACAGCACCAAAAGCCCATCCCAGATCACCACAATGGTACATCCCCGCCTTATTCTCGCTAATTGATCCCCTCTACAACGAAGACAAGCTAACAATCCAAGCCGCACGCCGACTCGTCCTACTTCGGCGCCAACGCCTCCAAATCCGACATCTACACTCAGGTCCTCGAACAAGCCCAAGGTCTTGTCTACGGGCAGCGCAATTGGGTATGTCCAAAATCCCTACCGAACCTATCCTCCTCAAACAGTCACCCTCTACATGACTAGATCCCATGAACTAACCAACCCAATATAACAGGTCAGGTAACAACACCCCACTCCCCCCTCATAAACCCGAAAGATCCAAGAACCTAACCCTAACCACAAAACAAAAAAAAAACACAGTAACTTTTCCAATGTCGCCTCTCTCCTCTGGCACGCCTACGCCGCTCTCCCTAGCCCCTCCTCTTCCGTAAACTGGGCCGGCTTCTACATCCGTCAAGACAAGTTCCCCAATGCTCAAACCACCGAGGACCAGAAGCAGAAGCAGGTCCTCTGGCTAGGACCGTTCCAGGGCCGACCTGCGTGTCAGGAGATTCGGTTTGGAAGGGGAGTATGCGGCACTGCGGCTGAGAAGCGCGAGACGGTCCTTGTTGGTGATGTGTTGAGTTTCCCGGGTCATATTGCTTGTGATGCTAGTTCGAGGAGTGAGATTGTTGTGCCGATTCTTGTGGGTGGGGAGGTATGTCTTTCTCTCTCTTCCTTTCTCTCTTTTCTCTCTCTCTGTTTTTTTTTGGATTTGTTTGGGGTGGTTTTTCTTTGGTTGTGGTACGGTTGCTAATGTGGTTGTGTGGTTTTAGACTGTTGCTATTATTGATATTGATTGCACGGAGCCGGATGGGTTTGATGAGGTTGACAAGAAGTATTTGGAGGACTTGGCCAAGCTTTTGGCGGATGCTTGTGATTGGTAGGGTTTGGTTTTCTTGGGTTGGGATTGGGGTTGGATTGTGGATTAGGTGCTACTTGATGTATATTGATTTCGATGAGTTTGGTTATTGGGCAGGGTTGTAATGAAAAGTATGAATTGACCGGGAGTGCGTCGTGATCAACCGAGAGGGTTGAATGTCTTGGTGTAATGATGTAGGATAGCGTACATTTATTACTCCGTACTATACCGTACTATGCCTTACGCGATGTCAATCCCTAGAAAATACCAATGGATCTCCGACAGATCCGTAGATCTAATAGCCCTCTATCCTATGTAGAAAACTGTAAGTATCCGAAATGCTCTAACCTGCCAGTACCTGCCGATTACATCGAAGTCTATCGCTTTCGCCGAAAAAAATGTAAAAAAAAAACCCTAAAAAAAAAAAAAAAAACAAAAAAAAAAGTAATATCCGAACGCCGAGCCAATAAATCCCCGAGATGCTTCCAGCACACTTCTAGTGCGCGTATCCAACAGTAATACAAGACTAAATGTAAGTACCCCAAAAGATAATAAAGGAGGATAGAAACTGTTACATGCTGAGCATGCTCATTTGCCGTTTCATGGGACTAATGGACCCGGCGTCGCCGTCTTCACTAGGTCCAATGCCACTGTCCGTGCCGGCGGCTCCGGCATCGGTGTCAATGTCCCATTCTTCGTCTTCACCCTCGTCGAGCCCTTCCAGGCCGGCCTCCGAGCCACGATAGAAGCTTTTCTGAACGGCTCCGCGGGTATTCCAGCGCAGCGCTCGCTGAACACTCTGGAACCATTCGCCGCTACCGGATACCACAGTGGGGAATGGGTACTGACTAGCTTCGACGGTGACATAATCGCCTTGGCGGAGTTCCACACGGCCTTTGCCATCGAACGAGCAGTATGCCGTAGAGCGGGACCCGGCGGGAACGGCAATGCGAAGTAGCATCGAATCCGAAAGCACCATCGGGCGGAAGGACAATGTGTGAGGGCAAATGGGCGTCAGGAGGATGCCCGGAATGGACGGATGAATCAACGATCCTCCAGCGGAGAGAGAGTAAGCGGTAGATCCTGTATGGAGTCAGTGGGTTGTACATCCGGGTCGGTGGAGGTAACCTACCGGTTGGTGTCGATAAAATACATCCATCCGCTTGCACCACCGTTAAGAAATCATTATCCGCGTACAGCTCCAGATTGGAAACGTAAGGCGACGGCCCACGGTCAATGACCAGTTCGTTCAGAACCTCGAATTGTTCCCCTTCTTCCACGGCACCCGCCTCTGCTTCCTTCCGTCGGTCCTTGCGGAACACGGTGCAAGTGAACCGCATGCGAAGATTCACCCGCATGCCGACATCCCCCATAACCGCGTTCAAATGCTCCTTATAATTCTCAAACTCAAAGTTCGTCAAAAACCCCAAACTGCCGAGGGAGAAGCAAAGAATGGGAGGAACGATCCGTTGGAAGAGCCACGAGGTAAAGAGAACCGTTCCGTCTCCACCCAATGTCAGCACCAGATCGAACTTCTCCGGGGATTCCCAACAGAGGTCTGGGGTCCAGTAATGCAGCATCTTTTCAAATCGAGGTTCCCTCTGCAGCAGCCCCGGCGCATCAAACCGCTTGGAATTCCGTAATTTGGCGTCCACATACACATTGACACCGAGATCACGCCCATACCGGGGAGTGGAGAGAAGCCACTCTGCCAGTTCCCGTGTTAAGTGTACCAGGCTATTATCACGAGCCTTGGTGACGATCATAACATTCCGTACGGCACGTTTGATCGGCCGACGTTGCAGTTGCTTCGACACCTCCCGAACCCCAGTCGCCGTCTGAACCAAGCGGGAGTGGGAGAGCCATTCATCATCCGTGATTTCCTCCAGAACCTTTTGGATATTCACAGCATCGTCAAACCGTTGATGGAAGAAGCAGGGCGATTGCATCGCCAAGCGTGCGGTCGGGGGTAAGCGATCCAGATACGGCCCGAGCTGAAGGTTGGAGAGCGCGGCGGAGAGCTTCTGTGAGGATGGATTACTGGAGCGACGTTCCTTCTCATCCGGAGGACTCGTGGAGGCGCTATTTGTGAGAAGCCCGAGAGACGCCGCCAGCGGCACGTTGGAATTATTCGGGTTGGATATGGACGGACGGGAGGCAAGTGCTTTCATGATCGTCTGTCGAGGGATTGAGTCGGTGGAGAGGGCGTTCCGATTGTGGGCCTTCAACGAGGCAGCGGAGCGGAAAGGGAGGAAGGGCGACGAGGGTAGCGATAAGACGGCGGCGGCGTCGTCCCGGAGGTCAGCCTGCTGCGAAGCACTCTTACAGGGTCCCGGGTGGGAATCGCTCGCATGAACGTCGTTCGGTGTCTGCGAAGGGTCTATGTGGCATGCATAATCGCGAAGAAGAGAGGTTCCGACTGTGGTGGTGGACGTGGAGGAGGAAGAAGGACGGTCGGAGTCCAACAGCGGGGCGGAGAATGAGGATGATGTTGTTGATGTCGAGGACACCGGAGCAGACAGCGCCGTAGGATCAGAAGAGGGAATATCAGCGCATGTCGACTTCGCTAGACCATGGTTGGATGCTGGGGAAGCCATGGACAACCGGACAGATTTATATGAGATTCCTCCGGACGATTAGTCGTGTGGGGAGGGGGAGGAAAGGTCAAGGGTAAAAGACAAGAAGCGCAATGATTTGCCTGGGATGATGGAGTTATGGAGACACAGTTGAACGGGAAGAAATGCGGCCCGGAAATCGGAAATCATTGGGATTGGTGATTTCAACTTCGATAGGCTTCCATGGTCACTCCAGTCTGGCGGAGTTTCCCTCGTTTGTTCATTTCCCCTTCAGTGAGTCGACTCACTACTAACTTATCTCCGCCTCACCCAAGGTTAATTCCGGCGCGTGATGATTCATTGGCTTCGGCGTTAAACTCGCCCTTATTCAAGAATTGATAATCATGATCCAAGACCACTTCATGATTTCCCCTCCATCATGCTTGTTCCTTTTTTTTTTTTTTTTT